ACCGGCCTGGCCCGCCAGGGGCTTTCCCTACACAAGCGGCGACCCCTTTTTGAGAAACCCTGCTCAAGATGTTATGGCATGATATCTAATACAGGAACTACTGCACTCATATTTTTAATGTAGTTATTTACATGTTTGATTCACTTTAAAGCCCACACATTCCCATGGGAGATGGTGGTAACGCTCTTCGTTTGCAAGATTTGTAAGATGAAAGACCATCTTTTCTATGAAAAGAAATCAGTAGTGAGCCCCTGATTTAAACTGTTGTCTAAATGTAGGGAGTTTGATCCCTTCCCTCTGAAGTGAAAACTGGATTGTGAAGTTAATGCAGTATTTTCTCATCTTCTGATATTCAGATCACTATGGCAACTGGAAGAAATGTGATGAGAGCTGTCAGAGTTTCTGAATTTGGTGGACCTGAAGTGCTTAAGCTCCTGTCAGATGTCTTATTGCCGAATCCGAAAGAAAATCAGGTGGAAATGATAGCTGTAAACTAAGATAATTGCACTGAATGGTAATGACTTGAGTATGAATTGAGTGAGTGTCCAAAGCAGAACCATCTTAATTCTGAATATGAGTAGGTTGAGCAGCATATACATAAATAAAGCCACAGGCATCAGATTTAACTAATTAGTTTTGTTATTCTAACACAGTCTACATATTGAATACAAAAGACTTTCCAAAATTGTTTCACATCCATACTAAGGGCTCTTTAATAGTCAAGTCAATTGCTTTAATAATACTAAGCTGTTGATGCAAAATTATGGTGATTGTAATGATATGTAACAAATAACATTTTCTCTTCAGGTCTTAATCAAAGTCCATGCATGTGGTGTAAACCCAGTGGAGACGTATATTCGTTCTGGTGCTCATGCTAGAAAACCAGCTTTACCTTACACTCCTGGCACAGATGTTGCTGGAGTAATTGAAGCTGTTGGGGACCATGTAACTGTATTCAAGGTATTATATTCTGTTCCTTTTTTAATTGATTGCTTATGCTTTCCCTACATTATTGTTGCAGTACTTACTGCTACCTCTATAATTTATGGCCTGTCAGAATTTCCTCTGGGTTTTGAGGACCTCTAATTGGCCATGAAATGCATGCATCCGGGTCAAATTAATGGGCCTATTCCTACAAGTGGCTCTCAGGGCTGTCCCTTACACCCATACAGAGCCCCATAGAGATCTGTGGAGTTCAGCGCCGGTGCAGGAGCCTGACTGCATGGTGCTGCTTGCAGGATTGGGGTTTTGTTTACGCAGTCTTGATCCAGAAACGTTTTTGAAGCATTGTAGGTGTATTATAAATGTCAAGATTGCTGTAATTATTGTCATCATCGTCCTGGACTGACAGGAAGGACCCTGAGATTATTTTGCTGATATTTTTAATATTCAGACTTAAAACGAAGGGGAAAAAAATGAAAGGTGTATCTACTGATAACAATGTTTAAATACTCAGCTGCTGTCTCATGGTTATATTTCACCTGCTGCCCTTTGGTTAAACCATATCTTGGTGAGGGGGAAAAAGTGGGCTGTTAAAAGATAAATGTGTGTGGGGTTTTTTAATTGGCCTTCTCTTTTATTTCCTTACAGGTGAGTAAGATTCTTGACCAAAGACTAACAGTAGAATATGTATTGTTTAAAAACTGTATTGGGGTAGAGAGTTGGGATTCTCCTATTCTGAAGTCATATATGACAGTTATTGAGGAGACAAGAGCCGTGCTGGCCTGGAGATGGAAAATAAGGCAGAGGTGTTAACTTCAAAAATAAACAAAACACTTTTTGTTTCAACAGATTGACAGCTCCATTTTCTTTGCTTTTAGTTTTTCATGTAAATTTTGGCATTTTCTGCTTAAACTGAAGGGAAAGAAGATGAGAGCAATAGTTGCAGACAAACAGCTTGAAAGGGCTGAATAGAGGAGCCAATCAGAATAGAGAGATTTGCATATTGATGGTACGTAAGAAATAGCCACATAGCAATTATGCAGATCTTGGCACTCTGGCTAATAGGTGTCAGCAAATCAAAGCGCAGGGATTTACATGCTATGCAGGTACTAAGATAATCATACGATGATTTTGAAAGTCAGACACCCACAAGTGATCAGAATGTACGGAACTGAGGAAAAATTGTACAAAACATGAAATTACCGTGTTCTAAGAACTGGGATGTGCTATATGCAGCTCACAACCAGTACCAAAGTAGTTGATACTCGGTAGCTGGCAGGGCTGGAAATCAGTGTTAAAACACCCTGTGTGTTGGGATGTGTATTATTCCCTGTTTCTCACACAGCCCACTTGGTGATTTGTGTGGAGGTTGTGATTTTATCCTGTTGAAGGACTCCCAACGATAACTATTACCAATAACTATTCCTGTTAAGAATGTATACTTCTCAGGCTTCAAAAACTGCTTAAGTGCTTTTCATAAGCTTGTAAAATGTTTCTGACATTTTCCTTGTGGAGTCCAGCTGGATGAATTCAGGTTCATTAAGGATCACCTTAATCATGCAGTAGCTTTGTGTGTGATGATATAGAACCTAGGATGTAATCTGCACACATACCTTTTGAAATCTGGATATACAAAATTGTGTTGCAGAGATTTCACTTCCTTGATTTTTATAAAATCCTTTCGGGAAGATAATTATATATAAAACTTTTAGAGAAGTGTTACGTAACAAACTTTGACTAAAGTACTTGGAACTTGTGTCTAAATCTTTTTTTATTTTTTCCTGCCAGAAAGGTGACAGGGTTTTTACTAATGGTACCATCTCTGGTGGCTATGCAGATTATACAGTTGCTGCAGCTGACACAGTCTTCCCCTTGTCAGATAAATTAGACTTCAAGCAAGGTGCTGCCATTGGAATCCCATATTTCACTGCTTACCGTGCACTCTTCCAAAAGTAAGATGCCATGCTCTGTTTGTATCTTCTGCTTTTGAAGACTTAAAATACAAACTATAGAGTAGACACGCCATCCATAATAGCCAGTTACATGGCTTACCTTTTCAGGGCACACTGCAAGGCCTATTTTATCTCTCTCTTTCATAAAGAGATGGGAGACTTCTTAGGTAGGGTAGTGATGGGAGGAGGACTTTGGTGGGGATTCTGTTGGAGGGTTAAATTAAATGTGTTGCCTACATTATTATCAGAGGGTTGTGATCTGGAGGTAATTGACCGTCTTTTGCTTTTTAAGATTGTATTTTTAAGAGTGCATCTAGGGCACCCAGAACTGGGATGGGCACTCTATATAATAAAAAAGTGTATACACTGAAAGAAATGAGTTAATTGTTTTCCTCCTTCTACCCCTCTTTACCTCACCACTGTCCTTAAGAAGGACTAGATAGGACTTGTTTCAGTCATAATTTCTGCTTCTTGATTGAACCGAGGGGTTGCAGTTGCGTAACCTATCTTTCCATCACCTCTGTCTTCAGGAGCTGTTGGCAGAACTCCTACTAGCTCATCTATCTAAGTATTTAACCCTGCCAATCACCATGGTATTGATTCATAAATCTGTACTATAGTGATAGACAAGAGTGCCTTGTCAGCTAGGGGATAAGAGATCAGGACTGGGAATCCAGTCTAGATAAATGCGTAGAACAAAGCATTGGGCAATCTAGTTTATCCTTTGAAAAAGTATGGGTAGATTATTTTAAAACCTGGAAGACTGAAGTTGAAGAAAATGTTGTTTTGAATATTAGGCTAGTGTTAATACACACCTATACCAACCATGAAACTGGTACTCCCATTGTTGTAGCTTATATCTATATTTACATTCAGGAATGAGAGTTTTTAGAATTATTAAGATATAAGAACCGATTCTCTTCTCTAATCCCAGAATGAATCAGGACTAACTCAGTGTAAAACTAAAGAGAGGAAAATTAGGCGCATTGAATGTGATCTAAAAAGATTTATATTTAATTCATATAACCCAACTACATCTTATGGCTAGACAATGCATAGAATCTGCTCAAGTTATAATGTATTAAATAGTTCAATGTCTGTCATTTTGTTTTCTAGAGGGCATGCTAAACCAGGGGAAACTGTGCTAGTCCATGGGGCAAGTGGAGGAGTAAGTATTTTGAAAAGACTTAAGTTAGCAAGTATTTTGTGTATCTATTTTTGTGATTGGTTCTAAGGCAAATGGTTCTCTGTCATGAAGGCTCTTTACACTTAAAGTTAAATCCTATCATCCAAAATATAGCAGCCTGAAACTGCACAAATTACCACATATGGCCCCAAATGCTGATGTCATATGAACTTAATTAGATCATATGTAGGGCATCCCATGGTGTAATCACAAAGTGGAGAACGGTCAGAAGCTGGGTCAGGAGCCATACAGCTAGTCTGCCTCAGAGAAAAGTTAAAGGAAAAGTTGTGTTTTGAAAAATTAGGCAAACTATCCTTAGTTGTGCAAGAAATGCTCACTGGCTGGATGGGGACTTTCTGTGCTGTTTCTCACCCATTAACTATAACCTAGCTAGAAAATGGGAGATGTTGGAGGAGATAATATCATACCTGAATGGACTTTAAGTTTTCCCAACTAGCTTCTGTGTTTACAAAAGGCTAACCTTTGGCTCTGCTGAATAAACAAGAAGGCTGAGGTAGAGTAAGAGGGAATAGTTAAACTTTAAGTGGCCTCTATTTCCCCTTTCCAGTGGCTGGAAAAACTGTTGCGAGCTGGCCAAGTTTTGTTGAGTTACTCGGTTGGCTGCAAAAGGCTGATTATGAAAGTCTCACACGAGAGAAAACTCAGATCTCTTGTAATATACTAGACTAGAAGGACGTTCAGCAATATGTTTTTTCTTTATTTTCATAAATTGAGTTTTGATTTTCTGTTTCCACTTCTTTTATATGCTTCTGGGAACACACACATGTTTTTGCTTTACAATGACATGGTCCACAAATAAGATTATCCTCTATAGATTTGCAGACTGTTGCAAATGTTTTTGTAAGTGCAGTGAGAAGAGAGTAGGCAAAGAGACACATACTATAGTGATAAGCGTGGATGTGTGTGGTACGTCTTTCATTGACATACGCTTCTACAATGATCCTTAAATCTTGCATTCTTTTCAGGTTGTTCATTGAACAACTTTTGGATGTTGAGATAATCTAGTCATGCCGTGTGTTAGTTTGAAATGTAAATGTCAAAGGTGACTTCGGTTTTTCAAATAGGTCAGTTGATAAGCCCCTGGCAAGAGTGATGGTCATGAGGATTTCTTATGGGGAAGGCAGTTTGTTTACTTTACATAACACTCCTGGGTGCAAGTTTCATTAGCAAAGCCATAAATGACAGCAGATGGAATTCTGTTGGTAACAGAAATGGAATGAGGCAGTTTGCTACCAGTAGAAGAGAATAACAGCACTTAAATTAGCCGAGGAAGTGTCTGTCTCCAGGGCTGGTCAGGATAAGTTGCAGAACCTGCCTTTGCAGGAGGAACCAGGTTGAGAGTAACCCCAAAAGAGAGGCAGAGTTTTGTGAATGCTTGTTCTTCGTTTCTCTTTTGCATTCTGCACACCATGTAAGCAGTCAGTGTGAGCCAGCTGAGACTGTGATGTGCCTCATGGACTTGAAGCCTGCTTGTCCTCCGGCACTAAGAAGACTTTACATCTGCTTGGCACTAATAAAACACCTCTCACCACCAACTGAAATATAAAGCAGGGATGAGAGGATGTGGTGGTAGGGAATGCAGATGTTTATTTGGCAGGATCAGTGTCTGACCAGGCTTCCAGTGGTTTTACTTGCTGCCTAAGAATGGAGGCTCATGTGCTTACTTCCCCCTCCAAAATCTGCTACCCTCTGAGGCTTCCCTGCTTGGGAGTTTTCTCTGGGGTCCTCACAATATCTGGCAACTACGCTTTGCAGGGCTTCCTTTGGCTTTCTGAAACTAGAGTGTGGTTTCTCAGGACTCAGCAGAAGGGGCAGTGAGACTAGGGAGTCTCGTCTGTTTATGGTAATGTTGGGAGTCTGGGGAATGAGATGCTAAATGGACTTATTCTGCAGTTAAGAGTCAAGGTTGTGATACATTATCTGTGGTATATGGTGATCATGTTAGTAGTGTCTGTCTGTGGGAAGAAAAGATCATATATACTGTTACATGGCTTAACTTTTCACTTCCTTGGTTTTGTGTCAGGTATATTGTGTGTGCAGCACCTTTACTAGTACACAATGTGGGGTGTGTGTGTGTGAATGTAAATCAAAATACTGTTTCAGTTATGCTAGTGATTTGTTATGCATAAAAACATATTTTAAGTTAATTTGACATGTAAAGTACTGAGTCACTGATAGGTGATATTTATATTAAGAGTGGGAAAATAAATGGTAAAGGGAAATGTAATTCATTTTTCCAGGTTGGAATAGCAGCATGCCAGATTGCCAGAGCTTATGGTTTAAAGGTTTTAGGCACAGCTGGAACTGAAGAAGGAATGAACATAGTTTTGAGAAATGGAGCCCACAAAATGTTTAATCACAGAGAAGCTGATTACGTTGATAAGATTAAGGTAATTTACTACCAGATTGAAAGTTTCATAGATCTTTCACCCTCTTTCTCCTTCCATTAAAATATTCAAAATCCATTTTGGTTTCTATCAATTATCTTCCTTTTAATTGACTAGAAAATGTACTATAGATGGCAATCCTGTGATGACAGCCAGATGAACTAGATAGATATTTTCTATTTGTAACTTTTATGAAATGAAACATTCGGTAAACAGCTCTTTATATTTTTCTTTTGAACCAAGATTAGGGTTCTGTAGGGGTCTGCCATTTGAGCAAAATCTACACAACCTTTTAATTTCTGCTCAAGGGAGAATTGTTAATTTTAAAGATATGGATACCAAGAATATTAAATCATAACTAAGACTGTGATTCTGTCACAGAGGTCATGGATTCTGTGACTTTCTGCGACCTCCGTGACTTCCCACTGCTCGGGCGCCCAGTGTCCAGCCACACCAGCTGCTGCTGGAGCGACCTGGGGCCAGCTCTCCGGCGGTCCTGCGGACCACCCGAGCAGCAGTCCTGAGGGAGGCCCCAGAGAGCAACCGAGCAGTGGTCCCAGGGATCGCCCCGAAGCCAGCCACACTGGCCTCTGCTCGGGCGGCCCAGACAGCTGACTATGGGGACCGCCGGAACAACAGCCGGTGTGGTTGGCTCCAGGGACTGCCCAAGTAGTGGTCCTGGGGGTGCCCTGGGGACTGCCCGAGCAGCGGTCCCAGGGTGGCAGTCAACCCCCAGCACTGGAGCAGGCTGCCCCCTCCCTCCCAGCAGGGGCCCCCAGACCAATGGGGCCCCAGAAGTAGAGTTTTAGTCAGGGGTATTTTTGGTAAAAGTCATGGACAGGTCATGGGCTGTGAATTTTTATTTATTGCCCGTGACCTGTCCATGACTTTTACCAAAAATACCCATGACTAAATCTTAGCTTTAATCATAACTAGGGCTGTCAATTAATTGCGTTAGCACATGCAATTAACTCAAAAAAAATTAATCGCGATTAACCGCACTGTTAAACAATAGAATACCAATTGAAATGTATTAAATATTTTTGGATGTTTTCTACATTTTCAAATATATTGATTTCAATGACAACACAGAATACAAAGTGTATAGTACTCACTTTATATTTATTTTTGATTACAAATATTTGCACTGAAATAGAAACAAAAGAAATAGTATTTTTCAATTCACCTAAGTACTGTAGTGCAATCTCTTTATCATGAAAGTTGAACTTAAAAATGTAGAATTATGTACCAAGAAAAAACTGCATTCAAAAATAAAACAATGTAAAACTTTAGAGCCTACAAGTCCACTCAATCCTCCTACTTGTTCAGCCAATCGCTCAGACAAACAAGTTTGGTTAAAATTTGCAGGAGATAATGCTGCTCGCTTCTTGTTTACAATGTCACCTGAAAGTGAGAACAGGCGTCACATGGCACTTTTGTAGTTCTGTCAGATATGCTAAACATTCGTATGCCCCTTCATTCTTCCGCTACCATTCCAGAGGACATGCTTCCATGCTGCTGATGCTCTGTTTTAAAAAAAAAAAAAAAGAAAAGTATTAATTACATTTGTGACTGAACTCCTTGGGGGAGAATTGTATGTCTCCTGTTGTTTTATCTGCATTATGCCATATATTTCACGTCATAGCAGTCTCGGATGATGACCCAGGACATGTTTGTTTTAAGAACACTTTCGTAGCAGATTTAACAAAGCGCAAAGAAGGTACCAATGTGAGATTTCTAAAAATAGCTACAACACTCAACCGAAAGGTTTAAGAATATGAAGTGCCTTCTAAAATCTGAGGGGGATGAGTTGTGGAGCATGCTTTCAGAAGACTTAAAAGAGCAGCACTCAGATACAGAAACTACAGAACCCGAACCACCGAAAAAGAAAAACCAACCTTCTGCTGGTGGCATCTGACTCAGATGATGAAAATGAACATGCGTTGGTCCGCTCTGTTTTGGATCATTATCGAGCAGAACCCATCATCAGCATGGACGCATGTCCTCTGAAATGGTGGTTAAAGCATGAAGGGACATATGAATCTTTAGCGCATCTGGCACGTAAATATCTTGCGGCGCTGGCTACAACAGTGCCATGTGAATGCCTGTTCTCACTTTCAGGTGACGTAAACCAGAAGTGGGCAGCATTATCTCCTGCAAATTATAACCAAACTTTGTTTGTCTGAGCGATTGGCTGAAGGAGGACTGAGTGGACTTGCAGGTTCTAAAATTTTACATTGTTTAATTTTTGAAAGCAGCTTTTTTTGGTACATAATTCTACATTTGTAAGTTCAACTTACATGATAAAGAGATTGTACTATAGTACTTGTATTAGCTGTGTTTCCTATTTGCTTTACTATCTCATGAAGGGAGGGAGCATTTAGAAACTCAGATCCCAGCAAGTCACAATATGATGAAGATCGACTTTCAGAATTGCATTAGATATGTCAGACTTAACATGTAGAAACCCCAGGTTACCTATAGCCTGTGAAATATACACAGACACCCAAATGTGAATTTTTCTCAGTTGGTTATCTCTCTTTATATTCTGTGTAGGAATTCAGTGATGTGCGGGGAGTTGATGTGATAATAGAAATGCTAGCTAATGTTAATCTCGCCACTGACTTACAACTACTGTCACCTGGAGGAAGGGTGATGGTAAGTATTTTCGCTGTCATTGCCTTCAAATTAAGTTTATAATTCATTGAAAAATGTTTGGATTAAGTGTCTCTCTTTTTTTTAAATTTTAAAACTTTTTTGTATCAGATCGTGGGGAGTAGAGGTCCAATTGAAATAAACCCCAGGGACACTATGATGAAAGAATCCAGCATAATAGGGGTTAGTCTATTTTGTGCAACTAAGGTAAGGCATTTTTAGTTCAAAGAATTTACTTAGAGGAGTTATTCTAATAACTTATAAACTTTTAGTTTAAGCAAATTAAATGTTTAGCAAAATAGCATAGTTGGGTTTGATTTGAGGTGTAAGGGTACAATTTTATTAGATTATATAAACTTTATTTTTCTAAATGAACACGTAGAAGAATTGATAAATCTCAGAAATGTAATAAAATGCATTTTAATTGTGAAATTTGGATTAAAACTTTGTATAAACATGTAATATACTTTAAAAGTGCACATGACTTACAGTAAATACTATCTTCACTATACAGAAGTTGATGCATGAATGTGAAACCGCGCTTCTTGCTGGTATAGAAGCTGGCTGGCTTAAACCTGTAGTTGGCCCTGAATATCCATTGGAAAAAGTTGCTAAGGCTCATGAACACCTCATTAACAGCAGTGGTGCTTTGGGAAAGATGGTACTCCTTATATGATAAGTCATGTAATAAAGTTTCTTTCCACTTATATTGTGGCTGTTCTAATTACACCCTTGCTTATATGGTTCATTTAGTATGTTTTACAAAACATAGAGTTGATCACAGATATTCTATAGTAATAGCAAGTCTAAATTAGACAGGGAGGATGCCTTAAATGAAAATGCTTTATTATGTAATGAAAAGCAGAGAGTCAGATTTAAGCTTCTAAGTACTCTTTCCCCTCCTTCCCCCCCACCCCAACCCCCCCATTTGGCTGACCTGGAAATTGCATCTTTTTCCTTTCTGCATTGGTCTTGTCACTGATATCTGTTCTGTCCTATCCAGGTTGGAATATTGTACAATGCTGTACTTATTGCTTCCCTTGAATACTACAGGGAAGCTTTAGCTAGTGCAGAATGTGGCTTTCAGCCTGTCTTTTAAAGTGGAGCGACATATATGTGTAAGTAGGGCTCTGTGTGTTCTGTAGCCACAAAATATGTTGCTATTCACCATCTGCCACAGAAGTGTGCTTTAGAATTCAAACTTTGGTTTTAAAATCATTAACTTTCTGGCCCTTATGGTTGCTAAGAGCCTCCCTGATGTGAATTGAATGTAAACAGGTGCAGCGTTGTGTTCCTGAATCTGCCTCAAACAATATCCTGAGAGGTGTAATTGCCCAAATTATCCCAATGGGAGGATGACTCTGAAGCCCAGTGTCATCATTCATTATTTTACTACTGATCTCATTTTAGCAGAAATAGCCAGATAATGTGCTGATTCCTTGCTATTGAAAGGGAGGGCAATGAGGAGTTCAATCCCCTCCCTCTTTCTTTTGAATTTAAAGTCAGTTCCCTCATAATGGGAAGGAAAGAGGACCCGCCTCCCTCCTGGGTGCCAAGAATTCAAACTGTCTTTTGCTAATCATCAGTCCCCTTCATGAATACAAAAATATGCAGCATATTGAAAATGTGACCACTCTGTAAAACAAATGAATGTTCTATGAAATGAGGACCTCTGTACTGATTGTATTACTCTTCATATCTAATACAATAGAAATCTCAATTTTTCAATTTGTTAATCTGCAGCAGAAATTTGCGTTTGCCATACCAGAATGCTATAGAAACTAGGGGATCTTGCAGCAGAATCCAGGTCTAGCTTGCCTTCATTTTGTAGTCCTATTTGAAGGTCATTTCATGAATGAATTTAATTTCTCTACCTTGTGGCCCAGGACAAGTACTAATAATCAAATATGGCTATTTTGGTTTAACTGCTAGACAGTGTTCTTGGTTGGCAATATCAATAAACAGTAAACAAACTGTTATACAAGTGTGGATTTGTTTTTGCTCGCTTACATTTTTGTTGTTTTCTGTTACCACATTCTGTATTTTATTAAACTAGTGAACAGAGCAAAGAGCGGTCCTCCCTATACTCCTATCCTGGGGCTAGTCCACTAATGAAGTTGGTAGTACCATGTTGTCCATACTCTCACTTTACATGCAAATATGAAATATTTTGGTCATTGGTTCTAAATAACAACAGATCTTGACATGGATTCAAACTGTATTATCTAGTTCTTGGTATGCCAGAAGAGTCTTACTCTAAAAATCTGCACTATTTTCTAACATTTGGTGTGTAATCTGTTTTGAATTCCATAGGGGTAAATGTAGCAACATTTGTTTTGAATGATAATTGTATTACATAAATAAGAGACAGGAAAAACATTTGTTACAGTGTATTAAACTGGAACATTGCCAGTTGAAAACTGTCACTGAGATGCTATCATGGCTCACCAAAGGCCTTTCTTAGTTCTGAGGAGCCTACAGTAAGTACAGTTAGCTGACATCAATCGTTTATACCTGTTGTTTGGTTCAGTGCTCTTCCTTTTTTAAATGGATTCCCTGCCAGTGTATCTGTATAGGCTCCCCAGGCATCCTACTGTGAAACAAATAAATTTCATATCCAAAAGCTACCATTTATATTTGTAACTTTGAATCAATGAAAGGGCCTGTGATTATTAAAACATTGTTCATCGAACAGTTTTATTGAAGACACAAGCAAATAACAAACTACTCCACATCATTTCCTTTGTTCTCATTATCCCTTTAACTGTTTATAGGCTGGTGAAGTCATTCAGCAAAAACCTACTGGGTTAATCATTTGATAACTTGTGTGTGTCTGGGCAAATTTCATGTTTTGGGCAATACACAACCATTTAAAACATCAGATTGTAACGGTGTTTCCCAGGTCATGGAACTCAGGATTGTGGCCCCGAATTAATCGTACTGCCTTCTAAGTAGCCTCTCCCACCTAGTCCTGTTCGTAAGCCTGGTTAATTCATTTGCCACAGACAAAGAAGTGCCTCTGCACCCTTTCACAGTGCTCCATACAACTTTCTGGCCTTCTTATTAATCTCAGCTAAATACAGAGTAGATTACACTACTAATATAATTAAGGCTGTTCAAGATATAATCCAGGTAATATAAAACACAATGTGTTTGTGATACATGGATGTTCACAGCTTAGACTTGAAAGTACTGTTTGATATTACAGGAGCTTCCCTTAATGAGATGATTTCCCAGTGAACATCAGATATTATTTGACCTATATCAGAACATTTCTACCCAGGTTAAGGAAGAGTTCTCATAATTGCAGTCTGCTAGTCTGTACAGGGGTGAGTATTGAAAGTTCTCCAATAGAAAGGAATTTGTAGCAATTCCACTGTAAAAAATTCATCTGTTATGTTAAATATATAGCCTGAATTTGTCTGGTTCAGCCCATCTTGACTTAAAATCCCCCTATATCCTTCAAACAGATGCACAATTTTCTCTGAAAGCCTTAAAGGATAGTGGTTCCATTACACTTCTGTTTTCTACTCTTTGCTTTCTTTGAATAGCTACTTATTCCTACTGACATTTATCTTATTCTAAAGTAATATAGAAAAACCAGTGAAACTGAATCTTCTAAAACTTGTAAATCTCTCCTGCTTTTGGGAGTACTCATTAAATTGTTTTGTTGGCTTGTCCTCACAGCTCACTAAAATACCATATGTTTTATAAACCTATAATTCATGTTCCTTTTCAACATCTTGATCTGTAGTGCTTAAATTAATGCACCACAGTTATCTCAGGGTATGCAGTTGGGGAAAAATAACCCACTGACTCATTAAGTCTCCTGGGCATGGAATTATTTAGCTGTCTTACCTATGTGTCATGAAGGAACAGTTGCCCTCATTTCAGAAAGTCAGGCATTATTAGTATTGAGCTGTTTGACTTTTTAATATCTCTCATTGAACTGCTGAGGACACCTGTTTAAAAAAAAAAAAAAATCTATGCTCACCAGATGTTTTTGCAGTCTTGCTATAAGTAATTGGAATCAAGTTTTATTTGTTAAGCTGCAGCGGTAGCAGTGGTTCAGAAGAATACAGGATATGTAAGCACACAAGTCATTTGAGCACTTGGCCCTTGTGTAATCAAGAAGAGTGATATGAATGATAACAAATGTCAATCATCAGACTCCTCTGCCCTATCCTCTACTCAAACGAAATTTGAAACAGCTTGGTCATTGGGATGGACTACACTGAGAGTGCCACCTCAGGGCAAACTGCAAGAAACAGGGCAGAAAATCCCCACAAACTGGTGGTTTATTCTATAATTAGATTCACCAAACCGGTAGCAAAAGAGCTTCTGTAACCACACTGGTTAACAAGAAGCCTAACACAGTCCCTTTTATGCATTCTGGTCCTGGGCTCCTATCCAGACAAACAGGTCTAATGTAGTGAGAGGTTACTGAAAACCGAATTCACCATATGTGAGGGTCTACTCATCTCAAAGGATCAGATGCTTACCTGCCATGTCAATATGTATCTCAGATCTTACCCAAATATCACACTGTCAGGCAATCCTTAGTAAACTAACTGAAGATTTATTAAGAAAAGAATAGTTATAAATGGTTAATAGATAATATACATAAAAATGATTGCAAAGTCCTTATCATGTTTGTAGCAGTGATGGAATAGACTGCTGGCTTGCAAAAGTCTCTTTGGCAGCTTCCAAAAGTTTTGCTGCCTGATTTATTTCTGTAATAATACTTATAGTTACAGTGCTTTACAGGTTCAAAGCATGATTCATACATTAACTGAGTAGTCCTCACAACACCCCTGTAAATGCAAATATGTATTATCCCCATTTTACACGGGGGAAACTGATGCAGGAAGGTGAAGTGACTTGTCCAAGGCTGTGCAGCGAGTCAGCAGCAGGTCTGGGATTAGAACTCGAGACCTCTTCATTCCCAGCCCTGCTGTTTTCTCTGGATTACACTAGTTTGTGAGTATTTTCAATTTGTAGAAAGAAAATGAGCAATAACTTATTGATACTAGCACAGAACTTCTCTTATGCTAAAACTTTCATGAGAAACTGGACTTGTTTCAGGACATGTGATAAATGGGAAATGTGGTTCATACGCAATCATGTCTTGTCTGGCAATATCCCCTAAACTAGATTTTAATCAGCTAATTTTATTTTTGTATCCCTTTTATGCCACTTGTGTTGTGTGATTAAGATATTTCACATTGAAGTGACTTTCTGTTTTGATTATAGCTTGTATTTTTATGTGCAAGCGTAAGTTTCACCTTATCATAGATAATTTATCTATATTCAATTTGCATAATCATTTAATATAATTATTAACCTTGGGAAAAGTCATGTTATAGGTTAATAAGTTTAGATTTTATTTGGATTAAGTTTGTGAGGTGTTCATGTCCTGCTCTTAAACAACATAAGTATAAAGGACTTAAATCTCTTACAACTATGGTAGATTTAATGCATTTTAAGCAATTTCTTTTACAACATGCACTATTCAATATGTTGGGCACTATTGGGTCGTTAAAGCAATTAGTTGAGTTAACTGCATCCATTGTGCAATAGTTCTAATGCCTGGGAAAAGGATAAAGGGTCTTCTTAGAGTTAATGATTTCAGACTAATATTTCAATGCTTCCTTTTGGAAATGCTTGAGAGGAGAATAGCTGGAGGTTCCAGTTCACATTCCTCAAAGGGGTTGTACGTCACTTCCCCCATTTTGCACCCTATGTGTTGTTCTAGAATGCTGTGCAGATGCCCAAAGGAACAGAAGGCAGCTCATTCCGCTTTGCTTTCCACTGCAATGGGGAGCTTCTGCTCTACTCAGTCTGAATTGGAAGGTGTACGAAAAATTACCACTTACATATTTATAGCCACATAAGTGATGTGGATGAGTAATTGGCTAGTGCTAAAAGTTGCTGATTATTGTTCCCATTCATTTAGTCAGAATGTAGTTTTGCAGTTGGAGTCCGTAATTCCACATCTTAAAAACCCCTGGGTAAGGAAATACTTCTGGTCTGATTAACATGCTGCAAATAAGAGCAGCAGTTGATACATGTGACAGCGGTGAAGGCTGGAGGTGACACTCTGGTTGCACACAATTTTGAGTCTTTGGCCTTATAGCAGGAAATTCAATTTCCTTACACAGTGTTAAGGCCTTTGAACATTTAGGGCTACTTTTTTTTAAATGGCCTCTGTTTTTCTGTTCATACTTCAGGATCACAAATGACAGCAGGTGCCAGAGATGGTATTTTAATATCTATCTGATTAGACCTACAGATCAGATAAGATTAAGAACGCTCCCATTTTCACTTGCAAATAATTGTGGGTGCAAAATAGAGGCTGAGTTGAGGCCTATTAAAAAGTTAGCATTTGGGGCCAAATTTTCAAAGAGGATTCACCCCAGCCTTTAAATCTGTGCCAGCAAGATTCACATGCAGAGTTGTTTGCATGTGCAACCTGGATTTATGTGTGCAAACAGAATAGCTAAATGTGGGTTGTCTATGCAAGCCATTCTGAATGCAAATTTACAAGTGTCTTTTCAAAATATGGTCCTCTGGGTATATTATGTGGTAGCTAGACATGGGTCTTATAAAATCCATATATCAACACTCCAGCTTGCTTTTGCACCAAACAATTACCATTCAACTAAACAGCTTTCAAGTACAGCAGGAAGGGGGAAAGGCAATCAATCTTGTTTCTAATCGTCCTTCCCCAAATAATTTTAGGAGACTTGTAATGTGTTAGCCACTTCAAGAATTCTCACAAATTTATTTGTAAATAAGCACTCGCAAGTGTCTCTCTCAAGACTAAATATTGAAGTATGGTACAAAAAGGAGTTAACCCTCTCACTATCACTATGAAGCAGGTAAATATGAGTAAACAGACATCGTCAGAACTGGGATTAGAAATGGGATTTTCTGGCTTTTATGAAAAACTAGAAAATATAAATTATAAAACATTTTAAAATATAAATGAATATGGTTTTGAGGACACTGGCTGATATATTGTAAGTGGGTGTGTCTACATGTTTGCGCATTCTTGGAGTCAGTAACATGACTAGATTCATTTGTGAAAGGCATATTACAGACTATTAAACGTTATCTTCTCATTGCAGTTGACAGCTGCTTAGTATGGTGGTTATTCTTTGGTGAAAATCTATACCAGTCAAATGATTCTCAAACATTAATGAGATTCCAAATCAAACTGAGTTTCTCTTACATTTTAGGATCAGATTTATGTTCAGGATGTATATGACTCTTCCCACCTGCTACCGCTACTCCTTTAAAAGAGTTCATTGTAACTGTTCCAATTCCTATTTGTTCTCTGATGTTCTTGACTGCATCAGTTTGTTACATTCAGTCATATTGGATTTTTATTACACTGTACAACTTTGAACGTATTCAATTCACATTTTACTCTTGAAAGAGGCATTGTCTATTATCATTGGCAGGATGGAGCATGTAATAAATGAAACATCAAGCATAAGTGAGAAAAATGGTAGCGGTGTACATAGATAGCAAGAGCACAAATGAGTCTTTCAACCTATAGGTCCCCCATATATCAGTGACACTTATTTTTGACAGCTTCTGTTAATTTGCAAACTTGCCTCTGGCAAGAGGACAAGGAAGCAGTAGCACAGTGAGATGAATGAAAATACCCAGCTGTAATAAGTGAGGTGCACAATGATTATAAGCTGTGAGAACAAAGGGGTTTAGTATGGAAGATCTGCTTATTGGGATCCTAATTATCAGAGCTCTTTCTGCAGCTTTGGTAGGGAAACTGTTTCCTTTGGATTGGACAGAGCACTGAAAATGGCGCTTAGGAAATGGTGCCATTGCGTGAATGCACTTCAATTGGTAACATTTAGTCCTTGTTTGGATGAGGGAATCCAGTAAGAGATTAGAGCACAGGAGTTCCTGGTTCCCATTAGACCCGGTTTGTCTGTTATAATCAGGCCCTTCTAGCTATCATAAGACTCTTTGATTTTGCCTTGATTCTGAAAGTGTTGTATTAGCTTTGATCTTTTCTGACCCCTTACTATAGTTTTGTTTCCTATTTTTAAATATTCTCTATACTAGTTTCCCCCCCCCCCATTCTACCCTCACCAATGCCATCCTAATCAGACAAGATGGATTACATGGACAAAAGGTGCATTAATTGCTCTTGCTATCTCATTTGCTTCGTGACTCCACTGTATTGAGCTAACTTTGAGTCTTATAAGATCAATGTACTGAGGTAACATTCCTGTCCATCGGTTGTGGCTGCTAACAGTTTATTTCAGGGTTTCTCACCAGCAGGTGTCATACTAGTTCTACCACTTTTGATATAGTTCATGCTTCACACTTGCCATTGTTTGAAAGGGAATAATAACAATAAATTAGACAGAGTTTGAAGAAACATAACCTTTAATTATTTTGCCCATTGCTTAATGAACCACACAAATAAGAGGGAAAGTTTTAATGTTAAAAGCAAATTGAGTATGATGAACAAAAAAGAGCTCAACATAGAACTGAAAATAAAGGAGGGAGAGAGCCAGCCTGCAACAGAAAGGAAGAATGTTCTCATAGGATGGGACTGAGGCTCAGGAGATCTGGGTTCTAATCCTGGCTCTGTCACACACTCCTGCTTGTCCTTGGGCAAGCTGCTTCACTACTTCAGCTGTAAACTGAGGAGAATAAATCTAATTCCCTAGGTCACCAGGTTATTGTGAAGATAAATCTATTAATGTCTATGTGGGTCTTGGATATTATGGTGACTATCAAATCCTATACCTAAAAAGAAATTGAGCATTACACCATAAAGACATTGTATATGTGCTGTTCCAGAACAATTATGATCAATGCTTTAAGGACTGATAACTGCAAGTACAACTGCTTTTGGACACTGTTATATCACCCTCAAGCCTTAAAGTTTTCTTGGTTTATTCTGAAGCAGAAAATGAGACTCCTTGAGTCAGATTCTCAGATGTATCTGGGTTATGCTGGCAGCACCACCCAGAGAGTCCTTTATGTTGGGGAGTCCCCAGCTGTTCCTTTAGCGCAGCTTTCTGTCCTTTTTGTAGAGCAGAGCAAAGGGGATAGAATGAGATCTGGGGATCCAGCTCACAGCACCTTACTAAAGAGCCCTCTGAATGAGGCAGAATAGTCCTTTCAGCACAGTTTGTGGTTGGGGTAGTTTGCTCAGGTGAGGCCAAGTGTTACTGAAGCGAAAAGAGGGAGCTGTGCTGGAAGGTAATACTTGTTGCTCTTACTATGCCAGGAAGCAGTGCTGACTTTGCACGTCACTTCCTGGCTATTAAAACACTTCCCTCTGTAGCAATTTGTGCAAGACTATATTCTTCTTGATTTCTTTCTTCTGATGGTAAAATAGCCTTTCTTTGTAGTAACAGATAGATAGCTGTTAGCTGTACTTTCCAAATCTTGGCTTATTTCTCTAGGGTGTGGTCTCCGTTGCTGTGTTTTACTAGAGCCCAAATCAAGGTGTCTGAGTCAATAAGATCTTGTATTTCTAGAGTGCGGAATTGCCAGTAGAAAGGGTGCCAGCTCCAGCAAGCAGTTTACATTGGGGGGAGGGGAGGAGAGATGCATGGTAGGTTTAGTGAGATGGAAGAAACAAACCATATGCTCCTGACCTTGGTTTCTTCCCAAGACTACAGAGTTTTAATACATGCCAGATGGGAAGAACAAACCCAAAAGAATTTTCCTCCTACGAAGTTGGTTCAGTTACTGGACATTTTCACTTTTACTCCAAGGTGTGGTTTGAGCATGTAAAGTTTTCCCCGCAGATTACTGAACAGACACAAGCTGTGGACACGTTTGGGAAACCACTGGGGTTTTAAAAACCTGCTCGTATGGGGCCTAATCCTGCAAGTAACTGAGGGTATGTCTGCACAGCAAGCCTCCAACCCAGGCTGACAGAAGTGGGCTAGTGGGGTTTGCGACAGTGCTCTAAAAATAGCTAGACAGACAGACAGTGCTTTGAAGTTGTGGCTCGGGCTGGAGCGCCGGCTCTGAAGTCCACCTCCCCCACGCTGTAGGCTTCAGAGCCTGAGTGCAACTTCAAAGTGCTGTCTATACAGCTATTTTTAGAGTGCTAGTGTGAGCCCTGTTAGCCCAAGTCTGTTCACTCCAAAATGCTGTGTTAGCTGTACCCTATGGGCCTTCAACTCCCATTCAGCATGTCGCGGGATCTGGCCGTGGCTGCATGGTGTATGCTTCTCATGCGCTTGGTTGCAGTGTACAAGACTCCCCTGAGAAAAGCTAGCCTTTCACTTTATTTTTATCCCCTTCTTACAACCTTTCTTTTACTTTCTTTAGATGGCTTTTTATAATGTGTACACAAAACCTATTTTGCACTTTAACTCTTTGGAACCCTTTAGATAGCGAAAGTCACCTTTTCATTTTTTTCCCTCACAAACACAGCAGGTGAGCATATATCTAAGATAACCATCTCAAAGTGGGTTTGTTATTGGCTTGACTGCTGCTCAGAGGTCATGTAAAAGACTGTAAGAGCAATGTCAGCCAGGTTTTTGGGCTTTGTTTTAGGTTCTCAACAGATCTTCAAGGTTCCAGACCTTGTGATGTATTTTTATGCAACACCACTACTGCCAGACACTACTATAAGAGAAACAATGTTTTGAGATAAGGCTTACTTTAGATTTTATCCCCAATCCAATGGTTTCCATATTTTAGGATGTCTGTTACTTCTCTCTTATTCTGTTGCCTTGTGAGTAGCTAAAACATTTGTAGAAAATTATTACTTAATTATTACTTTAAAAAAGGTTAGGGTATTTTGTTGCTTCAACGGTCTTCAGTTGCTCCAGGTCCCCGCCCCTACACATGCTCACTTACTCCATTTTGTTTACTGTGTATTGTCAGGAACCTGTGTGAAATCTCTGTTTAAAAGCAGATGAATTGCTTATTCCAGAGCAGAATTTACCCTTTCCTTGTTGTTGAAAGTAACTTCTATAGAACTGTTACAAACCCGCTTTCTCTAAAGAACTGGGATGTCTTTTGTTTCTTTTCAAGGCTAAAGTATCTGAGAATGAATAGAAAGGGCTTAATTCAATCTCAGGTACACCAGTCTTACACATGTGTAACTCCACTGGCTTCAGGAGTTGCTCCTGATTTACACCAATGCGAGAGCTAAATCAGTCCTGCAATGTGAAGCTGAATCCTGAGGCATTCACTGAAAAACTTGTGAATCGTGTATCAGAGGGGTAGCCGTGATAGTCTGAATCTGTAAAAAGCAACAGAGGGTCCTTTGGCACCTTTGAGACGAACGGAAGTATTGGGAGCATAAGCTTTCGTGGGTAAGAACCTCACTTCTTCAGATACAAGTGAAGAAGTGAGGTTCTTACCCACGAAAGCTTATGCTCCCAATACTTCTGTTAGTCTCAAAGGTGCCACGGGACCCTCTGTTGCTTTTGTGAATCATGGTTGCCAGCTCCCTTCAGGTTGAAGAGGACAAAGTTGAAGAGTCCAGGTTTTTGTTACTGGTTGACATGGACAACGAAGAAATTCCTTGTATGGTTCTTGATAGACAACTGGAATGGCATGAGGAATTAGTCAGGGGAAGGTATACATTTACTTCTGATAAAATACCTAAACATGTTGACAAATTAGGTGTTTGCTTCAGGCTCCTGGCAGTTTGGGCAATCCTGACTTCAGGCCTTTGTCCATAAGTCAAATAATAGACGAGTAATGGTTAAGAGAAGGCATGTGTTAGAAAATCATGAGTTCATATGGGTCAGCAGTAATAATCTCTCTTGACATAAAGCTCCACATCACAACATCCTATTGGTGTGAACATCAAACAAATACAAACACATCTCTGTCTGAGCTCTGATGTACCCATCACTGAAGTAGTGAGCCACCAATACTAAGCACAGATGTACTCCAGTGAGAATTCTCTGAAGTCATTAAACACATGCACTGTTGCTGATACTAAACTGAACTCTGTCCAGCTCCAGGTAGGTAGCTACAACCTTCTCTTTAGTACAGTCTATTCACTTTTATTTTTTGATCCCTTGCTGTCTTCTGCTTTAAAAAGTTCCTTGGCACCTCATCCTCATGTCATATAAAATAAATGAATATATAACATACAAAGCAGTTTCCAATTTATTTTTTCCTGACTTTTGATGTGACTGAAAAATTAATGAAAAAAAGATCAAATATGGTCTGACTTATTTCTTCTCTTCCCCTGGGCTTGTGTTTTCAGGCTTTTCACCACCTGGTTCCCTACCTCCACCAGCAGAGCTACATTGTGGCTTTTCTTTGGTAAATAGCTTGATGTATTACTCTAGGGGGGAGGGATAGCTCAGTGGTTTGAGCATTGGCCTGCTAAACCCAGGGTTGTGAGATCCATCCTTGAGGGGGCCACTTAGAGATCTTGGTCCTGCTAGTGAAGGCAGGGGGCTGGACTAAATGACCTTTCAGGGTCCCTTCCAGCTCTATGAGATGGGTATATCTCCATATATTTTTAGGTGCAGATCACTAAGGTGGGTCAGGCATATTTCTTCTGATCCAGTTTTTTTCATGCAAAAATTGCAGTATGCCAGCCTAACTGCCAGAGTAGCTCTGCCAAAAGCTGCTTCCCCGATGATGCTCTCAGAAGTGAAATCTAATGATCATGTTATAAAAGTGAAGCTGTTGCTTGGACTATGGTTTCTCGTTGCAGCCACGATTGCACGGGGCCAAGATTCCACATCCACAGGACAGCCCTAAGTTAAGCACTCAGGATGAAGGAAGGGTGAGGGTCAGTTGTGGGGGTAATGGTGGTGAAATAAACATGGTTGTACTTTACTTTTGATCTGATAGTCTTCATCCTTTTCCCTCCCCAACTGTGGAGCCTGTGGGCATACAGAAATTGTACCAATTTAACAAAATCTGTTTCAAATTAGTTAAATTTGTGCAACTGTCTTCTGTGGATACTTCTTAATCATTTTAACAGTGAATAAAATTCATTTTAGCTTAATTTAGTTTTTACCAAATATTCCCATTGGTTTCAAAGGGATTTGGATGAGGCCCTTAAAAGAGTGCAAACATACACTAAACGATGAGGAGAAAGCATGCAGCAGCGGCTTCAGTGCAAACATAGTTGACGTTTAGGAACTTGGGAGTAGGCTGGTGGATGTTAGAAAAGCCAAGCCACAAAATGAGATTAAACTGGCTAGAGACATAAAGGGTTAAAACCCCCCCTACAAATACATTAGAAGCAAGAGGAAGACCAAGGATAAGGTAGGCCCATTATTCAATGGGGGGGGGGGGGAGGGGAGGAAACTAACAGAAAATGTGGAAATGGCAGAAGTGCTAAATGACTGTTTCATTTTTCACCGAAAGGGTTAGTAGCAATTGGCTGTCTAACACAGTGAATGCTGGTGAAAATGAAGGCGAATGAGAGGCTAAAATAGGGAAAGAACAAGTTAAAAATTACTTAGACAAGTTAGATGTTTTCAAGTCACAAGGGCCTCATGAAATACCTAGAATACTCAAGAAGCTGACTAGAGAGATACCTGAGCCATTAGCGATTATCTTCAAAAAATCATGGAAGATGGGAGAGATTCCAGAGGACTGGAAAAGGACAAATGAAGTGCTAATCTATAAAAGGAAATAAGGACAACCCTGGGAAATACAGACCAATCATCTTAAATTCATTATGCCAAAAGATAATGGAGCAAATAATTATGCAATCAATTTGCAAACACCTAGAAGATAATAAGGTAACAAGAAACAGCATGGATTTGTTAAGAATAAATCATGTCAAACCAACCTGATAGCTTTCTTTGACAGGGTAACAAACCTTATAGGTAGGGGGGAAGTGGTAGACGTGGTATATCTTGACTTTAGTAAGGCTTTTGATACGGTCTCACATGACCTCATAAACAATCTAGGGAAATACAATCTAGATGGAGCTTCTATAAGGTGGGTGCATAACTGGTTGGAAAACCGTTTCCAGAGAGTAGTTATCAGTGGTTCATAGTCAAGCTGGAAGGGCATATTGAGTAGGGTGCCACAGCAATCAGTTCTGGTTCTGTTCAATATCCTCATCAATGATTTAGATAATGGCATAGAGAGTATACCTATGAAGTTTGTGGATGATACCAAGCTGGGAGAGGTTGCAAGTGCTTTGGAGGATCGGATCAAAATTCAAAATGATCTGGACAAACTGGATAAATGGTCTGAAGTAAATAAGATGAAATTCAATAAGGACAAATGCAAATTACTCCACTTAGGAAGGGACAATCAGCTGCACACATTCAAAATGGGAAATGACTGCGTAGGAAGGAGTACTGCTGAAAGGGATCTGGGGGTTCTAGTGAATCACAAGCTAAATACGACTCAACACTGTTACAAAAAAAGCAAACATCATTCTGGGATGTATTAGCAGGAGTGTTGTAAGCAAGACACAAGAAGTAATTCTTCTGCTCTACTCAGTGCTGATTAGGCCTCAACTGAAGTATTGTATCCAATTCTGGGTGCCACATTTCAGGAAAGATGTGGAGAAAGTCCAGAGAAGAACAAAAAAAACGATTAAAGGTCTAGAAAGCATGACTTTGGAAGGAACATTGAAAAAATTGGGTTTGTTTAGTGTGGAGAAGACTGAGGGGGGACAGGATAACAGTTTTCAAGTACATAAAAGGTTGTTACAAGGATGAAGGAGAAAAATTGTTCTCAATCTCTGAGGATAGGACAAGATGCAATGGGCTTAAATTACAGCAAGGGCAATTTTGGTTGGACATTAAGAAAAACTTCCTAACTGTCCAGATAGCTAAGCACTGGAATAAATTGCTAGGGAGGTTGTGAAAAATCTCCAATGATGGAGCTTCAAGAGCAGGTTAGACAAACACCTCTCAGGGATGGTCTAATACTTAGCCCTGGTCTACACTGGAGGGGGGGGTGGGAAATCGATCTAAGTTATGCAACTTCAGCTACGTGAATAAGGTAGCTGAAGTTGACGTACTTAGATTGACTTACCATGGTGTCTTCACCACGGTGAGTTGACTGCTGCCACTCCCCTGTCGACTCTGCTTGCGCCTCTCGTGGTGCTGGAGTATAGGAGTCGACGGGAGAGGGCTCGGGGGTCGATTTATTGCATCTAGACTAGACACTATAAATTGATCCTCACTGAATTGATCGCTGCCCACCGGGTAGTGTAGACATACCCTTAGTCCTGCCATGAGTGCAGGGGACTGGACTAGATGGCCTCTCGAGGTCCATTCCAGACCTGTGATTCTATGTTGCAAGGTTGTGTGGATTTAGTATGGGATTGGGGTGGGGGGCTAGCAGACCTGCTCTCTCCTTTGCTCCAGTGCATTCTAATTCTCTTGCTAGTCCAGAGAATCAGAGACTTCTAGGCTATGCGTAGGAGGGTATTGGTAGAGACAGCACAGAGACCTAGTGTGACCCAATATTTGTATGGATTAATTCTCTGATCTATCAAGGCTCTTACACACAATTTTAAGCATGTGAGTAGTTCCATGTGCTTAAAGGTAAGCAAATGTGGAAGAGTATTGCTGCATCAGCACCTCAAATTCTCTAACATATCTGGTCTGAAGCAGGATTTCCATTGACTTTATCAATGCAGGTAGGCAAGACAATTTAATACAGGATTTGAGTATAGTGCCTGCCAAATGACATCTAGGCTCTTGTCCGCCTACTTAAGAGCCTCTGCTACCAGTTCAGTGGGAGGCAGAGAGCTGCACCTAATGTATATAGATCAGAATGTGTTGCCTATCACGGGAAATCATAGAAGGTGTAGCCCACAAAGAATAGGTCCCAGTACCTCCTGTCAGCTAGCTCTGTTTGCTCTGGGGTGCCTGATCATTTTGATTAAAGAAAAATCCTAATTAACTAGAATTGTACAGAACCAGGCAACTCCAACCGCTTTCCTTAAAACCTGAGAGCTGCCTCCCCATCCTCATTTACTGTTATTCATAGATTCATAGATTCATAGATTCTAGGACTGGAAGGGACCTCGAGAGGTCATCGAGTCCAGTCCCCTGCCCGCATGTTGTCTGTCTCTCTGCCCTTCCCGATGGTCTGACCCTTGCTGAGCATTATGACTTGAGTGATCTGTAGGAGCTGCAGCCCACGAAAGCTTATGCTGAAATAAATTTGTTAGTCTCTAAGGTGCCACAGGTACTCCTGTTCTTTTTGTAGGATATAGAGAATTCCCAATGATACCAATGACGTGAAAACGCCTGAGGGCCAGGACTGCATCATTGTATATGACTGCAAAGCTTTATGCCACCTGGGGGCAATACAAACCAGTACTAATAGCCCAGCTGACTGCTTGGATCAAGAGAAGGTGCCGCCCTGTGAAGGTCAAAATGATCAAGGAGTCACACTTAGGACAGATTTCAGAGGAGCAGCCGTGTTAGTCTGTATCTGCAGACAGAGCCCATGTTACTCCTCTGCATTTATTACCCCCCACACAATGGTTAAACTCTGCCGGGCACCGTGCTATGAAATCCAGAGCGCTGGAGCCATTTTTGCCACCCGCAATATCTAAACGCTCCCCCAATGGTTCCTGGAGGCAGCTCAAAGAGGAGCGAGCCCTGGGTTTGTGCGTGCCTG